GGATGGTTCACCATCCATGCATCTACCGCAGCATTGTAGAAGTCTGAAATGGCTTAAATAAACCTACGTCCAACGGCTGCAATCTGTTCGTGCAGTGTGGCGTATAGTCAGGATTGTAACGCCATTATTTTTACATAAATCGATTGCCTCAATCGATAAATGACTTTGATGATTATCCATTAGCAATAAAGAAGGGTTTTCTCTAGTACTACCAGTGTGCTTAATAAAATGCCTAATAACTTGCACAAAGCACTCTATTCATCCAACCTGTTTTTGAAGCTAGTCCTAAAGTTCCAGGAGGCGACCCATTTATTATAAAATCTTTAAAGTGTACTCTTGGGAATACCAGAGCAGGAGGAATAGCTACTCCAGATGCTCCAACAATACAGCATGTTGTAACAAGTGTTCCACGTTCGCCACTTGTGGCTTTACTAAACTGTCGTATACCTCTTTCTGCAAACACTTTTTGGGACTTTTGAACGGTAACGGTTCCTGTCTCATCTAAATTATAGATGCGACTACCATCTCCAAACACAGGGAAACGCTGTAAAACGGTTTCAAGTTTTCTGAAAAACATTTCAACATTAAATTTATTGAAACCGGTTGCCCTTGCAAGACTACAACCTTCTGGGGTCCGGAGGGATAAATTATTGGAATGACGTTTCTGAAATCCTTTCATCCAGGCAAGTGAAGCAATTTTTGAAGTATGCCAGTTTGCTGGAACCACTATGTTATTATAGACTGCGTCTTCATATGACAGTTTTCGGGTATCTTCTCTTGATAGGCCATAAAACATTTTAGAACATTTAATTATATATTCGCACAAGTCGTTCTCCTGTTCGATAGTAAAAATTTGTTTTACTTTGTACTTAGGACATAAACGGACGTTCTCATCTTGTTGATATTTTTTAACATATCTGTGGACTCTTTGGAAAGATACTCCTTTTATTCGTGCTGCTTGCCGTATAGAAGTGCCACCTTGTACTAATTCAACAGCCTGTCTCATCATATCTTCAGAGAATCTTCCTATTTTCCGATCTGTTTTATTTTTTCTTTGCATCTTCGTTCTGTAAGAGAAATTATTTTGTAAATGACCTGGCTTATACAACTATAACGGAACAGTGAGACAGTAAAGGAACAGTGAGACGCGTCTCACTGTTCCATCTGCTGTGTTGTCTCACTGTTCCTTAAAAAATCGTTAATAAAAATATATGAAAAAAACTAATAAAATATGTACAAAAATCGTTTGTTTTTAATTTAATTGTTTCGTAAAATGGTTTACTTTGTAGTTAGAATAACCTACCTTGTCTAAGAAACTTCAATTTTCGTGAAAACAGCGGCCACGTGGATACGGTATATTTACTACGATGCACTCACTTCAAATGACCAGCGATAACTATGTTCGTTTAGTTCTACCTTATAATACCGAACGTGGTAAGCTCTACCGCGTTTGTCTCAGTGTTTCGACCGTCTCACTGTACCTACCTCTCCCCTAAATAGAAAAATATACAAAATAACCAATATACCAAACGAAAACCCAACCATCAACCAATGTTGATACAACATACAAAACTCAATTTTAAAGGAAGTAAGAAAGTAGTAAGATGTTACTCATATAGTAGGCTGATTGGTTTTAAATATTTTGACGTTTATTTTGACATTCATTCAGCCATTCGTGCATTTTATCATAAAAAACCTTCTTCACACACAGGATACATGAAGAATCATAGTGATCCGGTTATTTTTAGTTTAATTTATTAAGTTTAATTAAATATTATTTTGATTTAACTAAGTTTAAAGCAAGTATGCCGACAATTTGGCACTGCAATAAGGCCCAAGCAGCACAGATTGTAATTTTGTACGAGGAAGGATATAAAAAGAGGACAGGAAAATATATCGCACGACGTTTCAGAAGTCAATCTACAATTCCTAATACTTTAAAAAGGTACAGGAAATTTTGTATGGAGGCCTGGTCAAGGACGCCCAAGGCGCGCAACCGCAATTGGTTATTTATGCCTGTCTCGAAAAATCATCTAAAAGTAGATAAAGTTGTGATTAATGTTTAAATAAATAGCTGTTTTGTTTTAATATTCCACAAAAAAGGATAATAAAAGAATATCAGCAGACCGTTTTTTGGTTCTTAATTCTACACGAAATCTCTAATTGACATCGATGCACCTCAGAGCTGCTAAACGTTAGACTAGTTAATGTGAGTTCAAAAACAGTTAAACGAAGATTAAAAGAAGCAAACTTAATGCATAGACGCCCTGCCAAAGTTCCACACCTACTCCAAAATCATAAAGCTCATCTTTTAGAATTTGTAAAAACACGTATTCAACGACAACTGAAAAAATGTACTTTTCACTGATGAAACCAGAACCATGTAATGGCAGATAGATCCCAAACAAGCCCAGGCCGTTAGCTTTGAAGGTGGTGGCATAAAGATATGAGGTGGTGTTCGTAGAGGTCCAAACTCGAAAGTTTGCATTGGCCACCATTTAGTTCGGATTTAAATCCAATACAGCATGTGTGATCAGCTAAAACCACGCATATAACAAATAAATCCCGTTACAAATACAATAGAGTAGCTTCGGCTTGCTGCATAGGATATATTGAATGCAATTCTTCAATAAGATGTCCAAAATTTACTTGCAAGCATGCCAAAAAGGATGCAAGCAGTAATAAGAGCTATAGAGGGAAATACTCGTTACCGATCATGCACTTGTTTCAGTTAAAAAGACTTTTAAACAATTTAAATTATCATTCAAGTTGATTATTTACCTATCATTAAGCATTATTTCAGTTTCGTGCTAAGATCCGATAAATATTCCTTTAGTACAGATTGAAGATTAGAAAAGACAAAATACAGTCTTGCCTCACTCCACGCATGATTTTCACATAGTCAGTGTGTAGTGTTTACCTTCAACTCTGGGATTTGGTGTCTGATTCCAGTAAAGATTTGTAATTATTTTCAGATCTTGGTTGTTAATTCCTGTTTCTTTTAGTATTTGCATCATCTTGGCGTGCTGTACTCGATCAAACGCTTTCTCGTAATCAAACAGACCTACGTGTACGTCGCAGTTGGCGTCTCTTCATCTCTGGAATAAGACTTGTACTGAGAACAAAGCCTCTCTAGTACCAACAGCATTTGTGAACCCAAACTGGTTGGGGGAAATTTGACTTTCATGCAGCTTGTAGATTCTCTTATGAATTATCTTTAGGAACAATTTTAGGAGATGACTCATAAGGCTTATAGTACAGTAATCTTCGCATTTTTTTGGCTCCTGGTTTTTTTGGAAGTGCAATTAACTCAGATTTCAGCCATTCTGTTCGTATTTCTCCAGAGTTGTATATATTGTTGAATATCTTTGCGATTATTGCTATTGATTCGTTTTACATTAGTTTGAGTAGTTCTTCTTGCATATTATCAGAGCCTGCCGCTTTGCCATCCTTTAACTGTGTTATTATGGAATAAACTTCATGCTGTAATATTCTTGGTTCATCATTTACCTCTTCTTCTAGCTCAAAGGTTTTATCTCTTTGGTCTTCAAATAGTTGTTGTAGATATTCTTTCCACCTTCTTATTTTACTCTGTTTGTCCAAGATAATGTTTACGTCATAATCAGTTATATTTCCGTTCTCCCTTCGTCTTATTCCCCCTGTGAGTTCTTTAACTTTCTTATACATTGTAACTATCGTACTTTGACTGCAGAGTCTCAATTTCTTTGCATCTTTCCCTTGCTTCTTTTTCTTTAGCTTCTTTGATTTTTGTTGTTATTAATATATTTATGGTTTTATATTTGTCTGGGTCTTTGCATTAAGGTCTTTTAGCATACGTAGGTCGTATGATTGTGCTTTACTTTTCTGCTCTGTTTTGTGGCTCGAAATACACCCACCAGTGAAACGTGGTCTATCTTCAAGTCTGCCCCAGGATAAGTCTTGAGAGATGTAAAGCTGTTTCGGTATATTTTATTTACTAAAATGTAGTCTATTTGATTCCTAATCATTCTCCCGGGTCTGTTTTGACGGGAATTTCCACATGTACAACTTACGATCTGGTAATTGGAAGAATGTGTTTGTGACAGCTAGTTATGAGTCTTCTGCGAATTTTTCAAGGAGGTTTCCTCTCTCGTTTCTGACTCCAAGTCTTTCTTGATACAAAAGGTAGAATGCTGTGATGGTACGTCTTCTCTGTCTTTTTTGATGATGTTGAATCGTGGACCTTAAGGAAAGATATGTGCAGAAAACTGGAAGCATTTGAGATGTGGCTATATCGGAGAATACTTAAGATCCCGTGGAATGACCGAGTCACGAATGAGGAGGTCTTCAGAAGAATGAATAAAAAGCGAGAGGTACTGACCACCCTCAAATCTCGAAAGTTAGAATTCTTCGGACATATTATGCGAAATTAATCCAGATATGCTCTCCTTCAAGCCATCCTGCAAGAAAAAATATTTGGAAAACGAGGTCCAGGAAGAAGAACATCTTGGTTAAAGAACCTCAGAATCTGGTTCAACACAACATCTGTGCAGCTTTTCCACGCTGCTGCAGATAATATAAAGATTACCATGATAATCGCCAACATTCATAACGGATAAGCACATGAAAAAGAAGAAGCATTATATTTTTCGCAATTTTTTTTCGTATAAAAACATAAAATTGTTTATTAAAAATTGTTAAAATAAACTCTTCTTCACAATAAACGACTTGATTGACCAGAATTTATTTTCAAAAAAAAAAATTAGAAAATTCCAAAATTTTCGATATTTTTGTTCATGAGTGTATTTAACCTACCGTACAGCCAGTAATTCAGAAAGATTGAGATGTTTACTTAAATGAATGAATAAAATAAATCGTAACTGATTTATGATTTATCACATAATTATCTTTTTATGTAATGAAAAACTTCTGTTTTTAACATCAAGTAGCATAATCTTATCTTATCTTATTTAAATACACTACAGTTAACTTTTAATTAACTTTAATGCATTCTATTTTAGGCAATCATAGCGAGCAATGGTCAACTAACACCGAACTACGAGTATATTCAGGAATTAAGAAAATCTTCAAGGTAAGTACTAATTTAGAAAGAAGTCTAACTGTTCTAATTCCTAATATACTAATATTCCCACTCCTGCCTATGGTTTAATATTTGAAACGAGTTTATATAAAGAAAATTTAATTACCATACCCTTCATTATCGTTACCTTGTTTCCTTTTAACTGAAAGCAAACAAATAGCAGTCTTATCACTATTGATTTCTTAGATAACTTCCTATCTCTGTCATTTAGTATATTTTTTACTTCCATTTTTCATATTGTTCGGAAGCTATTTTCTTGTGGCATTGTAAATTAATTATTATTAAACTGGGAATAAGCCACAATTAAAGATAAAAATACGTTTATTGACGTTTCAATTTCCACTTCGAAATCGTTTTCAAAATACAAACAGTAAATTAAACAAATTTTGTTTTTTGTTACATAACAAAGTGAAAAATTCTTCTAATAATTTAATTTTATCTGACTCATTTATATTGACAAATCAGACATACATTATGCATTTTAAAGTAGACGACTTTAAAATGATATTGCCAATATTGTTGAGTTGCGCTCCTGGGACGACTTTACTTATAAGATAGTTCATTCGATTACATGAAATCAACTTTAACTTGAGAATATCCGTCAGAAAAAAATTATAGCATGTAATTCGTCTTTAAAAAGACAAACACATGACATGATGACAGTAAAAATTCTCCTGTTAGTGATTCCATAGTAAATTATGAGGGAAAACCAGGAAAAAAACCTCATAATACTATCCCGACATTGTAAGTATTTGTTAGTGAATTTAGTTTACCTTTAACAAACATCAAAATTCTGATTTTATATGTTACGTTATTTAAAAAACATAAATGATGTATCCTCTATATGTTACTGACTTACTAATACTGGTATTTTCTTATTAATAACTTCCTCTTTCAATATTGGTAACCAGATCCTACTACATTCTGCCGAGGAATTTGCGACACAATTGACCTCATTTAGCATAATTAGAGCCGCTTCTTTGATTTTTCTTTTTTTACCATCCGTTTTCTTTTAGGACTACATTTGAATTATTCCATTGAACCCTATGTTCATTATCCCATGCGTGTTTACAGATTTGAGATCTATCAAATTCTTTATTTTTAATATAAGATTGATATTCACTTATTCTAACATTTAATGGCCTTGATGATTCACCTAAATAAAACTGATCGCATTCACAAGGTATTTTATAAATGCAATTCTTTGTCCTTTCTTGTTCATTGTTAGGTTTGGTTTTGGACAAAATAGATCTCAACGTGTTTGTTGTTTTGAATGTTGTTGAAATAAATTCAACATTTATCAAAACCAAACCTAACAATGAACAAGAAAGGACAAAGAATTGCATTTATAAAATACCTTGTGAATGCGATCAGTTTTATTTAGGTGAATCATCAAGGCCATTAAATGTTAGAATAAGTGAATATCAATCTTATATTAAAAATAAAGAATTTAATAGATCTCAAATCTGTAAACACGCATGGGATAATGAACATAGGGTTCAATGGAATAATTCAAATGTAGTCCTAAAAGAAACGGATGGTAAAAAAAGAAAAATCAAAGAAGCGGCTCTAATTATGCTAAATGAGGCCAATTGTGTCGCAAATTCCTCGGCAGAATGTAGTAGGATCTGGTTACCAATATTGAAAGAGGAAGTTATTAATAAGAAAATACCAGTATTAGTAAGTCAGTAACATATAGAGGAGACATCATTTATGTTTTTTAAATAACGTAACATATAAAATCAGAATTTTGATGTTTGTTGAAGGTAAACTAAATTCACGAACAAATACTTACAATTTCGGATAGTATTATGAGGTTTTTTCTCCTGGTTTTCCCTCATAATTTACTATGGAATCACTAACAGGAGAATTTTTACTGTCATCATGTCATGTGTTTGTCTTTTTAAAGACGAATTACATGCTATAATTTTTTTCTGGCGGATATTCTCAAGTTAAAGTTGATTTCATGTAATCGAATGAACTATCTTATAAGTAAAGTCGTCCCAGGAACGCAACTCAACAATATTGGCAATATCATTTTAAAGTCGTCTACTTTAAAATGCATAATGTATGTCTGAATTGTTAATATAAATGAGTCAGATAAAATTAAATTATTAGAAGAATTTTTCACTTTGTTTATGTAACAAAAAACAAAATTTGTTTAATTTACTGTTTGTATTTTGAGAACGATTTCCGAAGTGGAAATTGAAACGTCAATAAACGTATTTTTATCTTTAATTGTGGCTTATTCCCAGTTTAATAGTAATTAATTCCATTTTTCAGTTCCATTCTCGATTTTTCATTTTTCTTGCGGTATCTTTCATCCAACAAAACTGCACAGTTTTACTTTTAAACTTTTTGTTTCAGTAAAAGTAGACTAAAGTCAGATATGAACGGAAACACTTCCACCAAGAACGTTCTCATCCTAGGAGCAGGCAGAGTAGCTGCTCCACTGGTAGAATACTTGTTTAGAGATCAGTCAGTAGGACTAACCGTCGCCTGTGAACAACGAGAACTGGGCGACGCCGTTTCGAAACAATACCCAGGCGTTGAAAGTGTTTACTTGAATGCAGCTGAAAATACAGGTACCTTGCAGGAATTAATAAGGAAAGCCAACGTTGTGGTATCGATATTACCAGCAGGTCTTCATCCCTTGGTTGCGAAAACGTGCGTTCAGGAAGGAGTTCATATGGTTACAGCAAGTTACATGTCAGAGGAAATTAAACAAATGCATCAAGCAGCACAGGATGCCGGAGTTACGATTTTGAACGAAGTGGGATTAGATCCAGGTAAACAAAAATTTATATTACTTAATTTGTAGACTTCGTAGGCATTATATAACTTTGATCTTCAACTCTGGAGTGTTAACAAGACTTACGTTACAGACTCACTTAGCAGTGGGGAATGTATATGCAAATGAATGTTAACAAAATAATAAAATGCAAAATTCTACTTTGGAATTCTGCATTAGGCTTCATGTTATCCTTGTTGATGCGCGTGAAGTATCTGTCCTGGAGGTGCTTAAAATCTGTGCATTGTAAATAATTTCAACTAGGTACTACTGCTAAATCTATATAAACAAAAAACATTTAAAAAAAAATTAATATGTATTCCGTAAATTACTAAATACTTCAGTTCTATATTATAGTTTTATAAATAAATATATTTCTTATGTTCCCCAAAGAACTAGCGGCGCCATCTATATGCTGTCAAAGATTATGAGAACGGTTCATGTTTCGTAACCACATAACAGATGTCTCTTCAAGGCAAAGCAATTGTAGTTTTATTCGTCTTCCGGGTTTGGACCGTGTCATTTGTGAGTGACCCAAAAGTGGTTCATCTCGACGTTTCGCTACAATTGTATGTAGCTTCTTCAGGAGAACAAAAAAAGAAAAAAGAAAGAAAGAAGAAAACAAAGAACAGGAAGATGGGTAGTTAGCAACGGTAACTCAGTTACTCAACGCAACCAGAGGCGAATACTAACTACCAAGATGGGCATTTGGTCACAGTAACTCAACTACTCAACGCAGCCAGAGGTGAAAACCAATGCCAGGACAGGGATTCACGTCCAACAGCTCAGAACACTAACGCGTCGAGAGGCGGGGAGTGAATCCTCCTCCTTGTTAGTCCGCTACTCCGACGCGTTAGTGTTCTGAGCTGTTGGACGTGAATCCCTGTCCTGGCATTTGGTTTTCACCTCTGGCTGCGTTGAGTAGTTGAGTTACTGTGACCAAATGCCCATCTTGGTAGTTAGTATTCGCCTCTGTTGCGTTGAGTAACTGAGTTACCGTTGCTAACTACCCATCTTCCTGTTCTTTGTTTTCTTCTTTCTTTCTTTTTTCTTTTTTTGTTCTCCTGAAGAAGCTACATACAATTGTAGCGAAACGTCGAGATGAACCCACTTTTGGGTCACTCACAAATGACACGGTCCAAACCCGGAAGACGAATAAACTATAATTCTGACTCTGGCCGTGGAAGCCTACGATTTCATTAGCAAAGCAATTGGTTTATTTGACATAATCATTGATTATAAACCACCACCGTGGTGGTTTATAAACCACCACTAATTTATTTAGAGCAGCCGTAAATAAAGTTATTATTGCCAATATTATCGCCAACGTTCGATAATCGGACAGGGTACTGAAAGAAGAAGATAGCCAAGATGCCATCACGGATTTCATGATATTTACTTAACTCTGTTAAGTAAATTGAACATAATATTAGTCGTATAATAACCAAGCCACGGCAAAGCGTGGCTGGGTCAGCTAGTACCTATATAATATTAAATTAAAGTATTATAATATTATATAATAATTTATTTATAAGGTTTTTTTTAAGAACGAATTGTTTGGTAATTTCCCCCGACAATATCTTATATATAAAAAAAGTTATATACTTGATTTTATATTTTTCAGCAAAATTTTATATTGTACAGTAAATTATCTTCTTTCTTCTAGGTATCGATCACTTATTAGCATTAGAGTGTATTCATGACGTTAAAAATAACGGAGGCAGAATCACCTCATTCGAATCCTACTGTGGAGGATTGCCAGCTCCTGAATACAGCGATAATCCTCTAAGATACAAATTTTCCTGGTCGCCACGGGGGCTCTTATAAATACGGTAGGAGCCGCTAGGTTAGTAGAAAAATTATCTTTTAGTTTATGGACCACAGATAAAAACTTATGTAGGTATATAGTGTTTTTTTAATATACGAAATTTGTAGGTATCTTAGAAAAGGTCAGATTGTTGAAATTAGTGAAGGTGGTGAATTGATGAGGGCAGCCAAACCTTTAGATTTTCTTCCTGGATTTAATTTGGAGGGATTTCCAAATCGAGACAGTATCAAATATTCTAAAATATATGGCATTGAAGAAGCAAATACTGTGTTACGAGGTATGAATAATAAATATATTATCACTATTCCTTTGATTTGATCGGTGTATAGGGTTATTTCCTAATGTCATATCTCTATATATTTCGAACGTAGGTAATAGTACTATCAATCTATGTCAAGGAATTGGCAATGTATAACGGTTTCCCTTTGATTTATACTGGCAAATATTTTTTTACTAAAATTTCACATTCGCATAAATCAGACTTAAATGACAAGAAATATTTTTTTAAATGTTTTTTTTTTGACTGATTTAAAACTAATGTGAATATAAAAGTCCTTATCTCTGAGCTCTTATGCAGTCTTGTTTTATTGTTTTCTTCTTCTTCTTCCACTTTATAAGAAATTCTGCTTGTTTATTTACAGATTAATACCTCTATGGAAGGTTGTTACTCCTCCACACCCATCCTCCACCGCGTATCTTTTGCGCGGTCGTCTTGCTGCGATACTTCTTCTGCCGATTGGTGACTTATCTTTTGCTATTTTGACGACACGGGTCTCCTCCATTCTGGTTATGTGATTATTCCATTGTTTTTCTATTTTTTGTCCATTCATTTATACACTGTACGTTACATTTTCTTCTCTCTCCACTTCTCTTTCGATCTCAGCGTATTTCCTGTAATTATTCCCAGTACTCTCATCTCTGCCGTTTCCAGTAGCTTTTGCGTTGTGGATGTGTCGGGTCCTGTTTCTGAGGCATATGTCATTATTGGTCTTACACTGGCTTTATAAATTCTTGACTTCATCTCAGTGTTAATGTGTCTGTTTCGCCATATAGTGTTATTAAGGCATCCTGCCAGTCTATTTGCTTTTTGTACTTGATCTCTCACTTCTTTGTCCAGGTCTCCATAGCTAGACAGTGTAATTCCCAGTAAAAAGTATTTTATTTCCATTACTTGTTCAATTCTGATGTCATCAATTTCTATTTTAACATCTGGTTGGTACTTTGTTGACTACTAGTGTTTTAGTTTTCTGAAATGAGATTGTCATATTAAATTCTTTTGCTCTTATTTTAAATCTGTGGATCAGACTTTGTAGACTATCTTCATCTTGGGCTATTAATATTGCGTCATCTGCGTAACAGAGTATTTTTATTTCTTTGTTTCCTAATTTGTATCCTATTCCTTTGTTAACGCCTTTGATGATTTCATTCATGATTATATTGAAGAGCATAGGGCTCAATGAATCTGCTTGTCTTATTTCGCTGCGTATTTCTATAAGTCGTGTAAGTTGTTCATCTATTGTGACTTCTATTTTGTTATTTTGGTAGATGTTTTCGATACCTCTTAATTAAAGATTATAAATGTATATTTATATATTTGTAGGCACTTTAAGATACAGTGGATTTGCCCAAGCAGCCAGACAACTCCAATTTCTTGGTCTGCTCGATACTGCGGATCATCCAAGCCTACATCAACAAGGTCCAGAAGTTACATGGAGAAAACTGATCTGCGATCTATTAGGACTAGAAGATGCTAACATGTTTTATGACAATTTGAAAAATAAAATTAGCGAAAGAACTGGAACAGATTCAGCTGTGGATATTTTAGAGGAGTTGGGACTTTTGGACAACCAAAATATTGTTAAATGCGGTACACCTATTGATACTCTTACTCATTATCTGTCAACAAAATTAGCTTTAGGTAAGTGGGGTTTTTTCATTACAAATAAATAATTGTTATATTTTATTTTCTTTTTAAAAATTTGCATTACGAAAAAAAATACGCATAGTTTTGATGATAGCCAAACTTCGGAACGAAGACGGCACTTGAAGAAGAAGAAGAATGACTCGCGACATAATGAATTATAGGATAAGTTTTAGTAAAAGGGCTCTAAGAATTCTAGCTATTTCTCCATGTATAATCCCATAAGAAATCGCAAAGGTCCATTTTGGTCATTTTTTGAGCTTTTTGTAGTGGGGGTAAAACGGCTCGTCATATCGTGACGTTAAAGAGTTTGCTAGAAATGGGAGGGGATGACGAGCATGACGAGGGGAAGACAAAAAAAACATACATGGCGGCATTGCCAAAAAGTCATTACATATGTCAGCTGTTATTGGTCCGATTTTAATGAACGAGACGTCAAATGAAAGAGGATGGGACATACAACAGGGTTAACAGAAAAAAATATATGACAGTATTGCCAAAGAGATACTATATCATATCTTCATTGTTATTGGTCCGATTTTGACGTACGACACGTCAAATGAAAGGGGATTGGGCATCGAGAGTAACGGGGCAAAAAAACATGACAGTATGGCCAAAGAGGCACTATATCGTATCTTTGTTGTTATTGGTCTAATTTTGACGTACGAGAGATTAAATCAAAGGGGAGGGGATATCGAATATGTCAAGATGGAAAAATAAAACAGGAAAACCTTACACTTATTCAGGAACTACGACCAAACCATCGAATATACCTACGTACATATGTTTTACACATATACAAACATGTAACGTTACATAGCATTCTACTGTTATACAGAGACTACTACTGCTAAAAATAAGCAGCTAACTTGCGAATGTCCTTTTACATAACCTCCCGCCAAGCGTTCAGTTACTAACTTCATCTGACAAATTCATCAAATTGCCTTCTCATACCACCTGGTACCTTTTCATGAGGATCGAACGCCTACAGGTCAGCTGTTACGAAAATAAAGCCCGTCCAACAAACACTGTCCTAACTTTAACTGTACTGGGGTTGAACCTCGTAGAATTTGAGTATACCGAGTTATACCGTCGAGGGTGACGTGACTTAATGATATAGCGTTTGGGTGGGAATTGGCGAGAAGATTCTTGATAGCTAGATTGGTAGACAGAGCGGACGATGTTTTATTATAATTGACGAGAGGTTAAAGGCAACCGGGTGTAGTCATCTTTTTTATTACTCATCTGGGCTCTTCAAGATCAATTTTGTGACTTGTAGGGAGATGATGTTGGTATAGGGCTAAAACTGAATCGAAATTTCCAACGGAAATGGAATGTTTGCAAATAATTTAAAACCAACCAGAAAAAATTATGTAGGGAAACTATAAGACACCATAATAAAAGAGCTTCATGAGAAGCAACTGAAAGAGAAAATTAAAACAATGACAATAACGAAGGAGGATGGAATTGGTGTCATTTGGTAAAAACTAAAGAGAAACATTAAAGACGCGGCTTGTGAAGCTCTTGTTATGAGAACACTTCATAGCAACAGCAATAGAAGTTAAACAAAAATTTAAAGAAAATAAAGAGGCTCACCATAAATATCACGCAGCGATAACTAATCGTAAGCTGAAAACCGGAAAACAATAAAGAAAACGTTGACTTTGGTGAGACAAGAGAGGAACCAATACTGGGAAACCTTTTCCAAAACGATGGAAAACGAGATCTTCGGTCTAGAGAAACAGATGTGGAAGTGAAGGAAAATTCCACCAACATAGAATCCATAGAAGCTTATACAAGAAATATGGAGAGAAGAAAAAATCCCACAACAATGGAAGAGAAGTGTAATATGCCCTATTCATAAAAAAAGGAGACAAACTGTTATGCCAGAATTATAGAGGCATCTCTTTACTTTGTTCGGGATACAAAATACTCACAAACATTCTTAATCGAAGACTTCAACCCCTCACTGAAAAAATTATCGGGGAATATCAAGCAGGGTTCAGGCAAAATAGATCTACTATTGACCAACTATTTACAGTTAAACAAATACTAGCCAAAGCATGGGAATATGACATAGACGTCTACAATCTCTTTGTAGATTTCAAGCAAGCCTATGATTCAATAGATAGAACAATACTACCTAATATATTACAAGAATTTGGCATACCATCAAAATTAATAAGACTAGTGCAAATGACAATGACAGAAACAGAAGCACATGTATGTATTCAAGGACAGATCACTGATGCGTTTATGACAACGCAAGGACTGAAACAAGGTGACGGACTGGCTCCAACACTTTTTAATCTTGTTCTTGAATATGTAATTAGACGGTTGACGGTGGGCAGAAATAACATACTTACAAACAAATCTACCCAATTAGTAGCATACGCAGATGACATAAACATAATGAGCAGAACAAAGACTGCAGCAGAAGAAACCTACGTTCAGTTGAAACAGAGTTCAGAAGTTGTAGGGCTAACAATAAATACAAATAAAACAAAACTACTCATACAAACCAGATCAAATAGACAGGCGCAACAACAACAATTTATAGACGATATAGAATACGTGAATAGATTCACGTATTTAGGAATGGATCTGGTCGAAAATAATGAAGAAGAACCGGAAATAAATAGAAGGCTTATGCTGGCAAACAAAGCCTATTTCGCGATGGGCCACATATTCAAATCGCGAGACGTACACCGGAAAACAAAACTCCGGGTATATAAAACAATAATCCGACCCATAGTAAGTTATGGGTGTGAAACATGGGTTATAACACAGAAATCTACCAATGCATTAGACGTGTTCGAAAGAAAAATATTGCGTAGAATACTGGGTCCAATAAAGGAAAATAACAACTGGCGAATTAGATATAATAACGAAATATACGAACAATACACTGAACCAACACTAGCACAATACACTAGACTGCAGAGATTACGATGGGCAGGCCATGTGGCCCGCATGCATGAGAACAGAATCCCCAGAAAATTACTAAACGCAAGAATGCAAGGAAAAAGACCTGTTGGAAGACCAAAAAAGAGATGGGAAGACGAGGTAGATGAGGATGCCAAAAATCTCCTAAAAACACGTTCATGGAAAAGAACAGCAGTAAATAGAGATGTTTGGAGAGGTCTAATGAAGGAGGCCAAGGCCCGGCTTGGGCTGTAGTGCCATTGGATGGATGGAGAATCCATAGAAAGGTTATAATAAACAAGATTAATGACAGTATATTCCTAAAGGACGAGCAACAAAGATTCCGATCAGGCAGAGCTTGCACACATGCCGTTTTTGTCTTAAGACAAGTAACAGAAAAATCAATAGGATATAATAAGCCTGTCTATATAGATTTCATTGATCTAGTGAAGGCATTCGACGTGTTCGACTAAATAACATTATACGGAGAACTTACCAATCCAATACCAGCTGGGAATGGCATTCGTCAGGGTAACTCACTGAGCCCGTTGCTTTTTAACATTATCAAGGCCATTATCCTAGCCATTATTTTACCATTTTCAAAGCATTCAATGGTAAACATGTCCACTATATTTACGCTCTTATTAAGTATTCTTTAGTAATGAGAACCATAAAATCATCAAAGGAATATTTAATTGTTTCAGCATTTCAGCAGAAAGCAAGGTTTAGATATCTGGGAATAGATATAACTTGTTACGGAGATGTTGAAGAAGAAGTACGACAACAAAGCTTAAAAGCAAGTAAAGCGGCGGGTTTTCTTAATGGCACAATCTGGAAGAACAAACACCTAAGACAAGACACAAAAGAAGAATATATAAAGCAGCAATTAGACCTATATTAACATACACGACGGAGACAAGACCTGACACATGCAATATAGAAGGCATAAATGGATGGGTGACAAAACGGAAACACGAGTGGAACAAACAAATTAGTATTTTAGACCAGATTAGTAGTTATAAGTATTAGCAGACCAAGAAAAAGATGGTACGATAATTTAAACAATTTAGGGGGCTAATATTGAAGAAAAAACAGGCTTTAAAGCCTATATACAAGAAGGAAAAAGAAGAAGCATTTCGTAAAGTAATAATTTTAAAATAACATATGAACACTAACCTAAAAATACTATAAAAATGTATACTAGTTTGGCAAAATTATTATGTTAGGGAAAGCGCTCACCAAACTGGCATGGCAAGTGGCAAGTAGCAAGTAACACGCGTCTAGCATGTTACTTAAAATGTAATCAATGCAAATGAATGATTAGAATGAATGACGTCACTGTCATTTTGGTATGCGCTGAATCATTCGTTTTCATTGGTTACATTTTAAGTAACATGCTAGATGCGTGCTACTTGCTACTTGCTAATTACCATGCCAGTTTGGTGGGCGCTCTCCCTTAAGCATCATAATTTTGACGTTGATTTGACAATATTATAATTTTGTCAACAGTATATAAAATTAAAAGTACCTTAAAGTTTCAAGACCAGTAAATGTATGAATAAGGAAACATCAATCTTATATAAAAAATAGAGAATTTAATAGATCTCAGATATGTAAATATGCAAGGGAAAATAAACATAGAATTCAATAAAACGATTCAAGTACAATCTTGAAGCAGATGGTAAAAAGAGAAATATTAAATAATCTGTTATTATTATGTTAAATGAATCCAACTGAGTCTTAAATTCCTCGACAGAATGTAGTTGGACTTGGTTAACAATAATAAAAGAAGAAATCAACTAAAAGAAAATACCACTATTAGAGGATACGTCATTTGTGTTTTAAACTCACATACATATAAAATTAGCATTTGATGTTAATATTGAGATTAAACGAAGTATAATATAAAGACTTACTATATCGGGATAGTATCCTGTTTGTTTTTTTTTCCTCATAATTTAATAAAATATATTTAATAACTTGTCTAATTAGTCTATTTCTTGCTTCCAGAAAAGCACGAACGAGATTTAGTGATATTAAGACATGATGTAGGGATCGTTTGGCCTGATCATAAAATAGAAAACAGGGGAATTAATTTAGTCGTCTATGGAGACAGCAACGGGCACTCGGCCATGGCAAAAACTGTAGGCTATCCTACTGCTATTGCAACAAAAATGATTTTAGATGGTAAGTTAGATTTAATGGATTACTATGTGTACTTGTTGGAGGTTCTTTTTATTACTTGTGTTTCTCTTCATGTTCCTAATCATTCTAGGTAACTTTCTTATTTAAGAATGTGTCAAACTGCTCCACATATCATTTCATAATATCAATTTTATTGATTAGTAACTCACAATTCTACTTATGATATTGTGCTACATATGGTTTTTAATTACTTGTCATATTACCTCCCTGACCAAATTTTCTGTATTCACGTTCCTTGGTAAGGTTTTCTATTTATTTGTAGCTTTTGATCAAAGTGGATTTATGTTTTTGTGTCTTTCTCCCTTTTTTCTCTTGGTCTGATCTTCTGTTAGCTATTTTCTTGTAAGGCTTCATTTATTTTTATCGTTACTTCCCTGTCTTGGTCGTATCAGTCATCCCTTGTATTTTTTCTTTTTTTTTTTTTTCTCATTTCTCACTTATTCACTAACCATAATACGGAACCATTCAATACTACACTTGAGTGCAAAATAATGGACTCATAATTATTTTGCGAAAGTACGTCTTCTGTTTTAATCTAAAAAGTGTAAATTTTAAAATATTTAGTGTACAATATTTTTGACATTTGACATTTGACTGGTGCTAATCTCACAGAAGAGCTTAGAGAGGTCCGAGGTGTAGTTACCAGCGTTTGAACAGTCAGAAGGAGACTCAAGGCAGCCAACCCGACACCAAAAAGGGCAGCTACCGATGAGAAGCCAACTGCAGTCCAGAAGCAAAAGCGATTAGAATTTGCTCACGAACATCTGGATTGGGACGACTGTCAACAGAGTCAAGTATTATTCTCCGACGAAAGTAGGATCTGCCTACATGGCAACGACAACAGGCGTCGAGACTATAGAAGGCCAGGAGAGCAATTTGCTCAATGTTGTATACGAGAAATTATATCATATGGAGGCGGTTCTTGAATGTTTTGGTCAGGTATTTCCATGGATGGGAAAGCCGAAATGGTTTTCGTGCTAGTGGAGGACGTGGAGGTGGTTTAATGGAGGATTGTTTACATCAGAGACATTTTGGAGGAACATGTGGTCCCATATGCGGGATTTATTGGTGATGCCTTTATTTTAATGCATGATAATGCACAATGCCATCCTACTCAAGTCGCTACCACTTATCTGACTAATCCTAACTTACAATCAATTGGCCTTCGTTGATCCCGGACATAAATCCAATAGAGCATATCTGGGACGAGCTTAAACGAATGGTCCAGGACAGAAATCATGCACCAAGGAGCATAATTGAATTGAGAGCTGCGCTTAATGAAGAATGGTAAGCAATGCCTCCAAGACTTTATTAGCGAAGTCTAGTTATTGATTTGAAAGTGTAATTAGGAGCAGGGGTGGTAATATCAAATATTGAAAAATAAAGAAATTCATTTTATAATTGATGATATCTCTGTTCATAACGTTTTTCTTGTTCAATAATAAAGTTATTGTTTACACATTACATCTTTTTATTTTCATACTTCTTACATTGAAACAAAAGGTGTTATCTCAAATATTAGTCGATTGTTTTGCACTCAAGTGTATTTTCTACTTTTAGCTGCTCAATATTTTATTCTTTTCTCCCATATCACTACATTCCTTTTGGTCAAATGCTTCTACTTAGTTCTGAAACTCTGTTCATCTTTAATTAATTTAATTTGTTTTTATCCTTGTACGGTACTCACAACGCGGTACTTACAATGTGGGATCCTTTCAACATCTTATTCAGTATCAAGGAATATACTAAACACATTTTGTTAAACTCCATCGTGTATTTCGTTTGTTCTTTGCACAAGTATGATTTTTGTAAACACAAGGTTTTCGTACGCATGCTGATGTTCAATAGTTGATACCTTTTGTATTTGTTTTAGGTGAAATTCAAGAAAGAGGATGCCTTTTGCCCTTTGCCCAAGAAATTTACAGACCTATGTTACAGCGACTTAGAGCAGAAGGTTTGACAGCTACGGAAACATCCAAGTTTGCTTAAAAGTAACCGCTGAATGCCTACAACGACAGGATGTCAGTTACAAAAAAAATAAGTGAATAATAGATATTTGTTTTTGCTTTTTGTGCAAAAGTGTTTATTAACTTTTGAATTCTTTAGTATTTTTAACATCGATCAGCAGTTACCTACTAAAGTGGAAGCTATTTACTGAATTAAATCAGAGGTAGTCAAAATGCCTAAAAACAAAAACAGTACGGAGGTTATTACCTACCTGTTAGTTTAAGTGCATCAACGTATCTAAGGTCCGGGATCTAAGGACCCAACGGATCTAACTCAACGTTCTAAATATGTGAATATTATAGTGCGCCTGAAAATTAGAAAAACGTTCTTCACATCTTGTGATCGGTTGTATAAAATCTGTTTTATAAAGCGTTATTTATTACTTAAGTTTTAATATAAATTTTAGTTCAATGCTTTTACTGCCACTAGGTTTTAAGTCTGATCCATCTCTAGAGACTTTATTAACAATCCAGAATGTTTATCACTAGTTAATTTTGTTCAAAAAATCACGACATTGAAATAAATCCAAGGCTAGACTGAACATTGTGATATAAGTGACTTATATTTGTATAAAAACCACAATATTGCCAACACCCGTCAGATCACAGAAGAAATACAAACTTATGCAACCCTATTATGAAAAAGATGACATATGACAGATTCCATTACATTATGCAAAAAAATTAATTCGGAACTACTACAACTGTCGTTATCAAGTAATATTGTAGTACTTAATAATAAAATAAGCATTAGTCAATATAATATTAATTGTTTTGCAATTGTTAAGTAAGTGTTTTTGACTATTTGGACAAAATATATGAGTAGGTACAATCCAGAATTATTTTTTATGGAAGTGACAAATTACCAATATTTTATCCTAGAACAAATTACTAATAACCTATAAATATTCCAAATGTTTCTGCTGTATATTTTTACTAGAAAACCATATTTATATTTATTTTCTTTAGTAAAGCGATTGTTTATTCTTTATATATTAATTAAATATAATTGCTTTAATGTAACATTTTTTATATTATGTAAGTATAATATTTATATTAAATATTTTATTAGAATTTTGAATAAAATATATAACTTGACGAGTTTTTTTAATTCCTCTTAGGGGAGGATGGGGCATTGTGAACCATCTAAGGAAGATATGCACATACTGTTAAACCAGAAATGATTTTGTTTTGTTTAATTAATTAGGGACGTTCATTAAACATTTAACTGTCATTTAGTTGCAATTGAAACATAATTTATTTAACGTATTTTCAACAAAAAAATGACAACTGACTATATGTCAAAAGTTCACATTGCCCCATAGGGTGGGGCAATGTGAACTACTGAGGAAAGTCACACTATTTCATTATCTAATGGCTATGTTTGGTAAATAAAATCAAGTAAAAAGAATTTTTTTCTTAAAAATACTTAGAAAACCGGTAACAGAACATTAATAAAAATAGACATATTTATTCAGAAATACAAAATTCACACTGAAATTCTTCATCATCTTCTGGATCTATTCTCACACATGCTTCATGAGCCCATTTCAGACAGGCCGAGCAACGTACCCATCCTTCTTCATTGGCTGATGAGGAGAACCACTCGTTACAGTAAAAACATTCAGTATCTTCACCATTGCCATCATCTTGTACTTGATGGTTACATTTATTTTTTTTCTTTCCCTTACCATCTTTGGAAGGACAAACTTTTTTTTTTTTGTTACTTCTTTCACTATCTTCGTGCTTATCATCATTTATTTTTTTCTTAGCTTTTCCTTTTTCATTGTTTCTATTGCCTCCTTCGTGTTTATTTTAAGTTCTAATTCTAGCTTATACGGACTAGATGTCAGTACAGCCGTTTTACCTTTTTTAGATTTCCTCTTTGGTTCCATTAATTTACTTCTCTTTGGCAGAGGACGAATGTCTTTAGGGCTGTTTGCTCCAAATGAAGTTGTTGCTCTATTGTGTGCAGGGGAAATTGTCAATTGAAAATCGTTACCAGTATGAAGCTTTGCAACTGAGGTTGAAGCAATTACCTCATCTTGACTTAAGTGAGGCTCTGCAGTTGAAGTTGAAGGAATTGCCTCATCTTGACTTGACACTGGTAGACTAGTATTCTCCAAATCTCTTTCAGTCGTAGCAGATGGTGCAAAATCGAGGTCTGTAAATATATTGGGATCATAAGGTACTATCCCACATTTTTTAAAAGCGTTAATAGCAGTCAAAGGTGTTGCAGCTTGTAAGAAAGCCTCACCAAAAATTTTAGAGATTTGGAAAGCTGTTACCACTCTGCCTGGGTTGTTATTAAGAAACTTTTCTAATGCCATATCATAATATCGTGCTAAAGGTGCCATGACACCAACATCGGTTAGCTGCATTCGATGGGTGGAATGTGGATTCAATCAAATGATATGTACATGTTTTTTCCCTAGCCAAATTAATTACTTCTATGTTTTTTGTATGACTGCTGTGTCTATCCAAAATCAATAAGATCGGATCGTCTTCACTTGGTTTCGTTTGTTAAAGAAAATGTTGAAACCATATTAAAAAGAGTTCACTATTTATCCAGCCACTATCGCTACAGGCGAATAGTGAACCTGGAGGTGCACCAGCTTGGAGTTCGACTTTCATTCTCTTTCTTGCAAAGATTAACATCGGCGGTATGAAGATTCCTGATGATGACTTGCAAATAACGGCTGTTGTTATTCCACTTCTATCAGCAGAAGTAAGCCGTCCAACTTGTTTCCGTCCTTTATGCGCCAAGATTTACTATTACATTTGGGGACTGTACCTAGACCGGTTTCGTCACAGTTAAAAACACGCGTTGGATTGACATGTTTAGAATCCAAAGTAGCTTTATACAGATCAAAAAATTGTTTTACATTGTAACGATTAAAAGCTTCAGCTCTTGCAGCAGATATTGATTCGGGTTTACGTAATGAAAGCCCTGGGTGCCGTTTTCGAAATCCGTACGCCCAATCTAAACCTGCAAGTTTGTTTGTTTTATTATATGGATGGTCTATGTTATTTTTTTTCGGCTAACTGGAAAGCTAGGTGACGAAGATCAAGCAAAGTAATTCCGTATAAACGCTTCTCCATATCTAAGATATAATTATACAATTCTTCTTCCTGCTCCTTGGTAAAAACCGTTTTGTAGAAACCTAGACCCTTTTCGTCAGGAGAAATTCTTGTTACTTTTTCTTTACATCTGCGAATTAACGTTGCTTTCGGGATACCATAAACTTTACTAGCTTTTAAATAGCCCATCTCCCCAGCTTTAACTGTCCGGATAGCATTCTTCAAGGCAACAAGAGACCAGGATTGTTGCTCAGTTTTCCTCACATAATTTCGTACCATTTCTAACTGCAAAAGAAGTTTATAATTAAAAAAGTGTCAAGAAAATATAATGGGGCAATGTGAACCACTCCTAGTCCACGTTGCCCCATACGTAGTACACATTCAAAATATGGAAATTAACGTACCAGTTCAAAGTGTTTGGACGCGTTTAAGAGTTCCTCGGGAAAATTTAAATATTTAAGTAGTTCTAAAGTCTTTTTTTATTAGATTTCGATCTCTTGTGAAGAGCAGAAGTGTATTTCAAGATATAACACAGGGTGTTTAGCGTTTTTGTTTTTTTTTGCTTTATATTTTAAGTTCTGGTATTCTGTCAACTGTACTGTAAGTAGAAATTTTTTATTAATTTTTTTGTTAAACGTCGGGCCCCGTCATGTCCGCGGGCAAAAATGGTATCTCTGGGAAGGATCCACCAGATCCTGGTGTAGAGGACATTGAATTTAGAGATAGGAATGATATTAAAAACAATATTGATAGCAAAAACTTAAGTTCAACTTCGCCTAAAACAAATATTCAGAAAAATCAGGTATTTAACTCAGCTAATCGATTTAGTTCTAGTGATAATGGTCCTTTTTTTATATTTGTTCAACATATTAATTTAAATTTAGGTCGTTTGCATCCAATGAAACTTGGAGAGAAACTACTTTCATTATCCAATTATGATAAAAATATTATAGAAATTGTTAGTGTAGGTAAAAACCGTATCAAAATCCAAGTAGATTCAGGTGCTGTAGCTAATAAGTTAGTTACAGAAGATTTTTTTGAAAAAAATAATTTAATAGCATATATTCCAAATTATTTAACAGAAAAAAAAGGTCTCGTTCGTGGAGTGGATACTACTTTAAGTGAGAATGCATTGCTCAACACTATTAAGTCTAATATTCCTATTAAAAAAGTTTATAGAATGACTAGATTAGTTCAAAATAATGGTATATCTGAAAGAGTTCCTAGACAAATGGTCATAATTAGCTTTGAGGGTAAATTAATTCCCCAATATATTTACATTAATAAAGTTAGATGTCCAGTTGAAATATATGTTAGTCCGGTTATGCAATGTTTTAATTGTCTTCGATATGGTCATTCAACCACCCAATGTAAGTCACAAAAAAGATGTAAAAAATGCGGCAATGAAGGAAAAATTGGTTGCCCTGATCAATGTATTGCATTTTGCGTTTTTTGTAAAAATAATAACCACGAGTCAATTTTTAAAGAATGCCCCGAATATTTGAAACAAAAGAAAACTAAAGAAGCTATGGCTAATTTAAATATTTCGTTTAAAGAAGCTGAAAAAGCTATTGAAAATCCAAGTTATTCCAGTTTAGTTCAAAAAAACAAATTTGCACCCTTAACTACCTGTGACACCGATTTCCCTCCATTAAAAAGCTCTTCTGCTAAACCTTCGAATTCTAACACTGCTTACAAAAATAATAATACTCACAAGCATATATCCTCCCCTACAGTTAGTCCCCCCAAAAAAAGAAAAAATTGTGATACATCTCCTAATTTTCCTCCTATTCGTAGAGAATACCAGACCAGCTTCTGTTCGGGATCTATATTTCAGTTTGGAAACCCTGATCCTCCTAATGAATTCAATAAATTTATCAGTCAGCTGAGTGCTTCACTTAAAAATTTGATCCAACAAAGTATCCAGGATTATTGTAATTCTTCCTCAAATGTAGAATCTAATCTTAAAATGTACGAAATTGAATTAGAAAATAAAATTAAAGATATTATAGGTAATATTTTTACATAACTTTAATGGCTTCCAAAAGCATTAAAATTATTCAATGGAATATTCGTTCGCTAAATGCAAACAAATATTCTTTAAATCAATTACTTTTTGAAGAACGTTTTGACATAGCTCTTTTATCAGAAACTTGGTCCAAACCATCTGATACTGTTTGCTTCAATAATTTTAATATAGTTAATAAAAGTAGAAGTAAGGGATATGGAGGAGTTGCCGTAATTTTAGCAAATAACATTATTTATGAGCCCATTTCATTCGTTAACAATTTCAATCCTAATCTCGAAGTTTGTGGTGTAAATATTAATATTGACCAAAAAATTTATTCTATTCTGAGTGTGTATCGTCCAGCAAAAGTTAGAGTAACAATGCAAGATTACGTTAGTCTTTTTTCTCAAATTAACAATGATTGTATCATTACCGGAGATTTTAATGCTCACCATGGATTATGGGGATCCAATTTATGTTCCGTCGATGGTAATATACTAGTAGAAGCATTAGATGCATTTCCTAATCTAGTTGTTGTAAATGACGGGTCGGCTACTAGAGCTACTCCTCCAGGACATATCAAATCGGTTGTAGATCTTACTATTATAAGCTCTAGTTTATGTTCAGCCTTTGACTGGACCGTTCTTTCAGATACCTATGGATCCGATCATTTTCCCATTAGACTTTCCGT